TTACGCTTTAAAAGCCTTTTATATCCTTACATTTTACATGAGGTTTTTTAGGTTATGTGTGATGTTTAATTTGCTTATAGTTTAATAATTAAATTGTTTGATGTAATATTTTATTGTACCAGTTTTATCTAAGGGTTCCCTACTTTGTTTTTATCATTCTCATTAGTGTCAGAAATTAGGTGAAATATGTTATTTTTGGCTGTAAAGTTGCCTTATGGCGTTTCAATGTTAATTTTTAATATAAATGTTTTTCTTGAAATTTATAGGTTTATTTATTAATAAATTGTTATAAATGTTCTCCATCCTCCTTTATGGTAGGTTACACAGGCTATTTGGTTCGGTTACACAGGCCATTTAGTCCTGAACAATCGAATTTAGTTTTCCTCGGATTATGTACCATCATAAATTCCCCAATTTGAATTGTTAAATATTTTGCCAACTGCATAAATATTTTACCATTCAAATTTTAAAATGTTAGAAATTAATAGTTGTCTTTAAAAAAAAATATAAGTACTGAGTTTATTGTGTGTGCTCGTTTTTATTTATTTAAAATTCTTATTCTCTGTTTCCATAAATCGATATATTTGTGATATGTGGAAAATTCCGCGTATTTTCTCACTGTGTACATCTTTAAGAGCGTATGAGTTCACCGGTGTTTCACTTTCTACAACGTAAGGTCCTTCGAAAGGAAAAAATAGCTTTTTGGTTAGTCTTTCTCGAGGTCTGGGTACTCGTAAAGAATTTATTATGACTAGATCTCCTTTTTTAAATTGTATAGGGTTTTTTATGCTTTTTCTTTTCCGTTTTAAAAATTTCTCAGCACTCCTCTGTAATTTCTTGTTTACTTGATCTATTGTTTCCTTGTAATCTTTGATATTTTGACATGTCCAAGGTCGGTTAGGGTGTATATTCTTCATCAGGTATTGAGGTGTTTCTTCAGTAACAGTGTTGGGTAGGTGGTTCATGAAGTTTTATATTTCTTGCAATTTACTGTCCCATTGGTGATGTTCATTATGCACTAGTATTCTTAGAAATTTGATTACCTCCTTGATGTATCTCTCAACAGGATTGGCATTAGGATGCCTTATGCTTGTGTATCTAGGTGTTATTTCTTGGAGTGTGAGAAAGTTTTTCAGTTTGTTATTATTTAGATATGTGGCGTTATCGATTATGCATGTTTTAGGCTTGCCAATTTCTTTTACATAATCCTGTAGACAGTTCTTTACAGTTTTAGTGTTCGTCTTCTTACATGGGTATAGCTTTATGAATTTTGAATAAATGTCCAAGATTACAAAGATGTGTTTATTGTGGTTGTCAGTCTTAACCAAATTTGCACTGAAGTCAATTGATATTATGTGTAGTGGTTCTTGTGCTGTAATTGATTTGGGTATGTTTTCGTTATGTCTGTTTCTTTCCTTCGCCAATTGACATACCTGACACTTGGATGTGAGTGTTTTTGCTATGGCCGTGTCTTTCTTTGTAATAAATGTCTCTCTAAATAGCAACCAAAGTTTTCTGGATCCCGGATGTCCATATTCTGTATGTAAATATGACATGACTTTGTTTGCGAATTCATTTGTAATCACGTAAAGTTCTTGTCCACGTAGTTTCTTGTAGTAAAATTGTCCGTCATGGTTAGTGTGTCTTTTTTGTTTGTTCGTCAGTTTGCCTTGGTCATTTCGTATATTCTCATCAGTAAATATGGGGTGTATGTTTTTCATTGTATTGATTCCCACTGTAACTTGTTTATTCATCATTCGTTTGTCCATCCTACTGATAGAATCACCAATGATATTTAGTTTCCCCGGTACATGCCTAATGTCAAATGAATATTCCTGCATCATTAGTGACCACCGATGTATCCTGCTATTCCCAAATTTGTTGTTCAATAGTGGTATTAACGCATTGTTGTCTGTCTCTATCGTAAATCTTCGGCCTAATAAATAAAATTTTAATTTTTCCACGCAGTAAATGATACTTGCAAGTTCAAGTTCGCTACTGCTGTAGTTCCTTTCGTGTTTCTTCGTTACACGAGATACGAATGTGATGGGAATTTCCTTTTCATCCTGTATCTGTGTAAGTACACTTGCGAATCTCTGTACTGGCGCATCTGTTTTTAATATAAAGTCTTTGTTGTAATCGGGGTAATAGATCCTTGTGTTTTGTACGAAATGATTTATAATATTTATGAAACCTTCTTCATGTTCTGTAGTCTATTTCCATTTTGTTCTTTTTTTTAATAGTTCTAGGAATGGTAGTTCTAATTTAGTGATATTAGGTAGTAACCTTTTGAAATAATTTATTACTCCTAGAAATCCACGAAGCGTCTTTAAATTATGGGGTCTTTTATATTCCTGGATAACCTGTAATCTGTCTGGGTCCATAGATATATTGTTTCTTTCTTAAAAAATTCACATTTGTCAATATTTAATTTTAATCCAGCCTTGTTTAATTCTTTTAACACTATTTCTATATGTTTTAGGTGATCCGTCTCGTTTTGGCTGAAAATCAAGACATCGTCTACATAGTTGAGTACAAAAGTCTCATATTTTCCAAGAATGGAGTGTAGTGCTCTAGCCAGTCCCGCAGTCGCACTTTTTATCCCGAAAGGCACTACTGAAAAACAATACACCACACCGTCTATGGAGAAACCTGTATACATTCTACAATCTTTATGAAGTGGTATTAGCCAAAAGCTGTGTTTTAAGTCTAACTTAGAGAAAAATTTTGCATTTGTAATTCTGCCCAATAAATTTTGCATAACTATAGGTTGTTCATATTGTGGTATCGAATGTTTATTTATTGTTCTAGCGTCCAAGCATAATCTAATATCACCATTTTTCTTTTTGACTATTACAATTGGATTAATATAAGGTGTATCTGAGTATTCAATTATATTTTGTTCTAATAGTTTATTTAATTCTTTTTGCAACTGATTTTTGTAATGATAAGGAATATGATAAGACTTGTTTTTAAAATTATCAATGGGTTTAACTGTAAATCGATGCACATAGTTTTTTGCAACTCTAGGTGTGTTTGAAATTAATTCCATATTTTCATTGATCAATATTTTAACTTCTGCCTGTCTATTTTCAGAGCAGTTTATATTAATTTCATTTATATTTATTATTTCATTAATCTTATTTCCATCGTTATTTTCATTTTTCATATAACTTTCTTTATTTTCTACATCACTTTTTAATATCTCATTAACATCACTTTCACCTATTTTTGTGTAACTATTTGCATTGATACTTTCAACTTTGTTTATTTTTATATTTTCATGCAAGTCTATCCATTCATCATTGATTCTTAATCTTTGTTTTTCATAGTCAATTATTACTTTATGTTTGTTTAGTTGGTCTGAACCTATAATTATGTCCGTTAGTAGGTTAGGTGTCACTAATAGATCTAACATTATTAATTTTTGTTTTATTTTTAATTCTACACATACTATTTTCGTTACTTCACACATTTTTCTATTATTAGCACTGACAATGTTTACCTTTGGTATTTTAATTGTATTTTTAAATAATAAAGGAAATTTTTCCACTAAAGTTTCGCTAATTAAACTGCCCTCTGCACCGGAGTCGATCAAAAGATTAACGTTTAAATTACTTAAGTTTTCTGTAATTATTATTAAATCAAATTTGTCATTATTGCTTATTTCTTGTATATCATCAGATTGTAAGAAGTTTTTAGGATCTTCATATAGGCATGTATAGTTTTTTAATTTGGGAAAGTGCATATCTAAAAATGGGAATTTTCATCACCATTTATCTCCTCACTGTTTTCCTGGTTTGGCGAGCTACCTGTATTGTTTTCAAAATGTATTGTTTGTCTGTCATGATTATTATTATTGTTATATCTAGAGTTACTCACCTCGTTTTCTAAGTTCCTACTTCTTTGTCTATCTATACCCTGGAAATTTACTCTTTCTAGTGTGTCTTCTATCAATTAAATTTTCCCTGTCTCGCATTTGGTTTGTGTTTGTTGGTCTGTCATGATTGTTATTGTTGTAGTTATAGTTTTGATTTCTGGTATTGTATCTGTAATTATTATTGTACCTTTGTGTGTTAGAGTTGTAATAATCCGTTTTCGTTGTTTTGTCTATTGTCGGTCATATTATTGTCATTTCGTTGTTATAGTTTTTGTTATTATTGTTATTTTGATTATTGTTTTGGTAGTTACCATAGTTGTTTTTTAAATGATACCTCTGATCATATGTGCTCCTTTCAATGCGCATTAAATAGTTGTTAAGTTGTTCCATTGTTTTAATGTTTTGTATGGCTACTGTTTCCGTTATTTGTGGTTTAAAGTGTCTGGATAGTAGTATTACTGCCTCTGCTTCAGGTATACATGGCTCTAAGTACTGTACTTAGGCATATAATTGCATGATATAAGTATTGGGACTTGTACCTCTTCTCTCCTCAAATTTTCCAAATTGTAGTCGTTCCCTAATTAATGATTGCGTAACCGTTCCCCAGAAAGACGCTAATATTTGCATCTCAAATTCCTCAAATGTGTTCAAGCCTGCCTCTTTACTTGAAAACCATATCAAGGCGTGTCCTGTCAAATGATCTCTGAGTATTTTTTTCAACTTTTCACTGTCTGTGACATTTTTGGTTCTATTTTTAATTATATTTATAAATACTTTAGGATGAAGTTTTCTTATATCCCCATCGAATTTTAAATTACTTTCCCCATGACAAACTTGCACGTAATTTGTCTTTATAGTAGAGTCTGTCTTGATTCTTTCCAATTATTTGAGTAGTTTCTCTCTTTCTTCCCTTTGTTGTTTTTTCATTTTCCTTCACTGTTTCTTCTGTGATTCGCGAACCACTTCTATTTTCGTTTTTCTTCCACTCTTCTTCTATCCGCTGTATTTTTTCTTCTAATTGCTTCTGTAACCTTTTTTCTGTTTTCAGGTTTTCTTCCTCCAAGATGCATAAGTTGACTTGATACTGTTCTTTACTGTTTCCTCTACTTCTCTTAGTTCTCTACTTGTTGAAATAGATAGAATCCATTTGTTCAATTTTGCTTTCTTGCGTGTCAATTTTTTTGTATAGTCTTTCTTGGTTTTTGTTGATCTTCTCGACGTAATTTTCCATCTTTGCTTCTAGTTTCTCCCATAATTCTTCCTTAATTTTATCTATTTGCTCTTCTACCTTCTTACTTTGTTCTTCCATTTTTATGCTCTGTTCTTCCATTTTCTTCTTGGTTTCTTCATTTTGTTCCATTATTTTCGTTAGCATCATCATTAAATTGTTTTCTTCTCCTTCTGTACCCTTTGATTTTTCTCCTTCTCCAGATGATTCCATCTTCTTCTGCTCTTCTCTCTGTTTCTCTTCATTACTTTCATTCTTATCGTCCCCAATTATGTTTTTATTTTTTCTGCGCGTACCCATTATGATTATTTTAAATTAAATGAAAATTTATTTTATTTAATAGTAAACAAAGACAATTATTGAACCAGCTTTAATATTTTATAATAAATATTTGTGTACACAATAATGACTTTACAGGTGCCCCACGTTGGGCGCCATTTTATCGTGGTATTTAGTATTTATGATAGATTATGATCTGATTCTTTATGTAACATTATAAATACCATACCATGATTCTAACGATTAAAATATTTTTATGTATTTTATTTTTTTTTTACTTACCGGGTTCTGTAACCTTAGACAGAACCTTGCCTGGGCGCCACCTCTCGGAGATCGTGAGGATTCCTATCTCAGTTGGGTTCAAATACGTTTGACCTAATTTCAGTTTACCTGTATTTTATAAATACATAAATAAATAATAAATCATAGAAAATATCTTTATTTAATTAAACATGTCTGTTAAATTAGAGAATGAGAATAAATCATCCACATAGGAATTAAAAATAACTGTAAACTTAAAGTAAGTAGAATTAAGCATTTAAATTTCCCCCGTTTTGTCAAAGTGTCGTATAATACAAATAATATGAACAGCTGTGCTCTGTGCATAACTCATGAGATTAAATGTTATGAATAAGCTTAATATTGTTGGATATTTTATGGATCAGGAGAATATTTACTGGTAAGTGCTTATTATCAATTATTTAATATTAAACTAATGATTTCAATTAACGTATATGTGAATAATAAAAAAAAACATGTGACATAACCTACGAATAATATTTACAACTTAATATTTACAAAATCTTATCATTTAAAATAAGTCTGTTATAACGTGGAAAATATGATCATATTTATTTATTTATAGTGTTTGGTACCTGTTATCACTGGGGCACAAAATCACTGGAGAATCACGGTCAGTCTTGGTTGGAATATGGAGTGTGGAAAACATAAAGGAAGTCTGGAGTTGAGATTTTAGATTCTGGAGTTCATGGGTTGGATGTAAACAGGGCTCAGGATGATCTCCAAAATTCTATCTGCCTTTACACCTACCAATTTTACTTCAGGACTTCTGGTAAATACCCTTTATTAAGTTGACTTTTGGTTCTAGGTATCTTCATTTGTTTTTACATTGTTGAACTACATGTTTCTTTGGCAAGCGATTACACTCAAAAACCCCGTTCTACCGGCGAAATTGGTTTTATATAATCGCAATCTCATGGCCAACTAGATGCAATTTTCGATAAATTTTGAATTTATTAGCCAATTCATTAAATTATTTTATATTTTCTTGGACTGATTCGAGTTCACAGAATTATGTAGTTTCTTTTTGTGATCATTTTAATATAAATTTTATTTTGATCCGTCTTATATTAACTTTACAATTAATCAAATTCTCACCCCAATTTGATGAATTATAAAATGCTTTTATTATCGTTTTATTTACTTTTTATGTAATAATTTCATTATGTATTAATTAATCTTATTTGGAAATATTTATTTAATCTAATTTTACGCTTTAAAAGCCTTTTATATCCTTACATTTTACATGGGGTTTTTTAGGTTATGTGTGATATTTAATTTGCTTATAGTTTAATAATTAAATTGTTTGATGTAATATTTTATTGTACCAGTTTTATCTAAGGGTTCCCCACTTTGTTTTTATCATTCTCATTAGTGTCAGAAATTAGGTCACATATGTTATTTTTGGCTGTAAAGTTGCCTTATGGCGTTTCAATGTTAATTTTTAATATAAATGTTTTTCTTGAAACGTATAGGTTTATTTATTAATAAATTGTTATAAATGTTCTCCATCCTCCTTTATGGTAGGTTACACAGGCTATTTGGTTCGGTTACACAGGCCATTTAGTCCTGAACAATCGAATTTAGTTTTCCTCGGATTATGTACCATCATAGTATACAGCCATCAAACTGAAGCTATAATTTTAAAATATGTAATTTACAAACCATATACAGTACGATTCAATAGAAAACAAGAAACATGAGAAAAAATTAACCTTTTTCTTTTTTCTTTTTTTTTTCCTGGGCTCGTCTGACTATGTGTCTCCGAATAACACTGAAGCCTATTGGCTTATTATGTTTTACCCCATGTTAGTTCATAGCACCCACTTTTTATGTAATAATTTCATTATGTATTAATTAATCTTATTTGGAAATTATTATTTAATCTAATTTTACGCTTTAAAAGCCTTTTATATCCTTACATTTTACATGGGGTTTTTTAGGTTATGTGTGATATTTAATTTGCTTATAGTTTAATAATTAAATTGTTTGATGTAATATTTTATTGTACCAGTTTTATCTAAGGGTTCCCCACTTTGTTTTTATCATTCTTATTAGTGTCAGAAATTAGGTCAAATATGTTATTTTTGGCTGTAAAGTTGCCTTATGGCGTTTCAATGTTAATTTTTAATATAAATGTTTTTCTTGAAACTTATAGGTTAATTTATTAATAAATTGTTATAAATGTTCTCCATCCTCCTTTATGGTAGGTTACACAGGCTATTTGGTTCGGTTACACAGGCCATTTAGTCCTGAACAATCGAATTTAGTTTTCCTCGGATTATGTACCATCATAGTATACAGCCATCAAACTGAAGCTATAATTTTAAAATATGTAATTTACAAACCATATACAGTACGATTCAAAAGAAAACAAGAAACATGAGAAAAAATTAACCTTTTTCTTTTTTCTTTTTTTTTTCCTGGGCTAGTCTGACTATGTGTCTCCGAATAACACTGAAGCCTATTGGCTTATTATGTTTTACCCCATGTTAGTTCATAGCACCCACTCTATCACCTTTGTACCTTGTACAAGTTTGTACAGATCCTTGGGTGAGTGGGTTCTATACGTTGTTGGATCAACCTGGGGTTGTCCAAAAAGAGCCTGTCTTTTGCGATCTAGAGCTTCGCATTCGCACAGTATGTGTTTGGCTGTTTCTGGTTTCTTGTGACATAGTCGGCACATGAGTTCCCCATTGTACATGCCAATTTTGTTCAAGTGTCCCTTTACTGGGGCGTGCCCAGTCATGAACCCTGTTATCACTTTCAGCTGGTTCCTATTTATTAAGAGTAGTTCTCCAGTTCTTTTGGGACATGGTCTGCCTATGAAGGCTTTGCCATATGCCTGTTTTGGGGTGCTTCCCCAATAGTTGATATGTTGTTCCCGAATCCTGTCATTTATAAAACCCCGGACTGTACTTTTTGGTACTCCTGGGTTTGTGTCTGGTTCCGGTGTTTCTTCTGACCCTCTTTTTGCAAGTTCGTCAGCCTTTTCGTTGCATTCAATCCCTTTGTGACCTGGCACCCAAAATAGTTTTACTCTATTTCGGTCTGCCAGTGTTCTTAGTTCTTCGATGCATTCCGCTACCAGCCTCGACGTAACTTTCTGACTCGATATGGCCTTTAGTGCCGCTTGGCTGTCTGACATTATTTGAATATGCTGATTTTCGACAGCTCTTTCATTGTTCGTTTTTGCACATTGCAAAATTGCATATACCTCGTCCTGAAATACCGAGGAATGTATTCCTATAGCATAGCTATGGTTAGTATCAGGGTTTTTGGAGAATACTCCTGCCCCAGTGCCTTCCGCAGTCTTAGACCCGTCTGTATACCAGGTTTGTTCCTGTCGTTGGGCATTGGGCTCCCTTATGGTGATCTCAGCTCTTTCCTGTATTAAAACCTCAAAGGGAGTATTAAAAGAGTACCTCTTGGTTATGTGGTCTGATCTCATGTCTAGCACGTCTCCTGTCACTAACCTTGAGATACTCATGTGACCTGGCCTAATGACAAGATTTCCCAGTGTATTCTTTAATCTGTAAGCACCTAATCTTGTCTCCCCTTGTATCACATAGTGAAGAGGTGGGAGTCCTATTAGTGCTTCCATTGCAGCAGTGGGGGTTGTTTTCATTGCCCCCGTTATTCCGAGGCAGGCAAGTCTTTGTACCTTGCTTAGCCTCGTTATTGCTTTCCTTTGCTGTGTCTTTGGCCACCACACCAAAGCTGCGTATGTTATTATGGGTCTCACCACCATGTTATAAAGCCAGTATACCATGTCTGGTTTTAACCCCTATTTTTTTCCAAAGGATCGCCTTGCCATCATTAATGAGGTTTCCGATCTCCTTGTGGTTCTTTCTATATGCTGGTTCCAGGTAAGTCTCGAGTCAATCATAAGCCCGAGATATTTTACCTCTCCTTTAAGCTGGATGCTTGCACCTCTTAGGTTTAGAGGCCCTAGTCCCTCCAATTTCCTCCTGCGGGTGAATGCAATTATGTCAGATTTGTTTGGGCTAATGTTTAGTCCTTCCGCCTCTGTGCATTTTGTTACTATATTTAGAGCCTCTCTCTTACTATAGTGTTGTATTTTCCCTGTGTCATGATCACTAGATCATCGGCATATCCCAGGGTTCTATGTACCTTATCTTTGAGAGCCCTAACCTTTTTCTTGCTCGACTTTTATTTTAAAATTTAAAATTTCGTCGGTTACATTGTGTAATTTTACATTTAATTTACTAATATAATGAAGCTTAAGAGTTATATAAGCTTGATATGACCAATTTGTAAAATATGAGGTAAAACTTGGTAAAAACAAATATGAAAAATTAAACTCGTTTTCTCACCATTCCAGAGAAAGAACTTTTATAGCGTTTTATGGTCTCCTGATACGCTAGACGTTCAAAAAATGTTTGGTGTTTATTTAAAATATTTAAATTATATAGGGTGACCCATTACTGTGAAAAGTTCAATATCTCTGGCACTATTGAAGGTACAAAAAACATTTACAGAATGGTAAAAAGTATTAAAGTCTATTTTTTTAAATTAGTTTCGAATATACAAAGTGTTCAATAATTTCGGAGTGGAACAAATTCATATTGTTGGTCGGTGTATTATTCTTTCGCTATGTGATAGGCCTATGAATTTTAAACAATTTGTTTATCTCGGTTAAAATTGCAATTTTTGGCACTTGTATTGTTCTTTCACTCACCGATTCAATTAAAATTTCT